CTCATGGTGGTATTTTGGAGGTAATTATCGAACGATATTTTATTTAAATGCACAATAAATATATCTCTGCAATCTTTATCGATATAGAAGGCCATGTGACCAAAGGAGGTCGCGGGTTTGAGTCGTTGAAACAGCCTCTAGCAGAAATGCAGGGTAAGGCTGCGTACAATTGACCCTTGTGGTCCGGCCCCTCCCTGGCTGCCCTTTTAATCTTTATCGATATATACAAAATGAATTTACTTATCTTTTTCATATTATCTGCAGGCTATTTGGCCATATAGCGGGCACTATCACCCCACGGAAGAGAACTTCAGGGAATTCATTGGCTTCCTCGAGGAGCACAACGTTGATCTTACAAACGTTAAGGTAATTGTTTAAATTTGTGTCTTGAACTGTTGAACATGTTCCTCATTGCTTAAAATGTTATAGCAATTGAGAAATACATCGCTAACAACAATTTTTTCTTTTGTGTTTTCAGAGATGTTCAGTTGATGATGATGATCTTTCGTTTAAAGTTAATAACGAGGGCTCAAATCGCCAACCACCTGTCCATCATTCTGTTGCAAAAGAATCACCCAAGAGAAGCGTTTCTGCTGTAAATGATCAAACTGAGGCGAAAGCAGCCACAACAGACAATGATCGTGAAGACATCATCAATAACAAGACACAATCATCGTTTAGCTTTGCTAAACGTTTATCTCGCAAATGGTCAACAGGAAATGGACCTCGTATTGGCTGTGTTAGGGACTACCCTACAGAATTACAATTCCGAGCACTTGAACAAGTTAACTTGTCACCTCGGGTGGCTAACGGAGGTTTCAACATATATGGTCCGATCCCCTCACCAAGGCCAAGCCCGAAGATTCGGCTTTCTCCTAGGATTGCGCATATGGGATTACCTAGTCCAAGGACACCTATTTCAGCAGCTAACTAAGCAACATTTTTGCATTTGCACCAGCTGATAAACTTCTGGTTTTTTTGGTGTCCTCACCTTTGACGATAGACAACAACACAACAACAATAATAAACTCAGTAAATTCTCACAAGTGGGATCTGGGGAGGGTAAGATATACGCAACCTTAACCTTACCTTGGAAGGGCAGAGAAACTGTTTCCAATAGACCCTCGAATAAAGAAGACAACACAACAGATGTAACAAACTAACGAAAATCATTATTTATTCGTTCATTCACATGCTTTATTTGTACAAGATGCATGGCTTTCATTAAGCCTAATAATCTTTTTTTCAAAGTTTTGCCTCTTTTGTAATTGAAGGCTGGCTTTTATTAACATGTTAAATTCTTTCATATTTTTTTGCTCCAATGTAGTTGAGTTGATAGCTCTTTATATATAGCAAAGTTTCTATGTCCAATCTTGCAATTCTCTTTCTCAATCTTACAAGTATATCCATTTAGTTGCTCCATTTAAATGTACCATAACTCAAAGTCTTTATCTTTTTTCATTTTCTGAGTTGCACAGTTAGACGAGGGTCTACCGGAAACAGACTCTCTGCCCTCAAGGTAGGGGTAAGGACTGCGTATACACTACCCTCCCCAGATCCCACTTGTGGGATTGTACTGTTTGTTTTTGTTGTTGTTGTTGTTGTTGTTGTTGCTGAGTTGCATAGTTAGTGCCAATAAGCCAATCTACAAGTCAAAATTTAGAACTAGTTGAAGTCGGCTATATGAAACCTCTGTATCCTTTTCAACTTTATCATCTCATTTCAATACTCAATTTTGCCTCTAAAATTAAAATTATTGAATTTTCTCTCCTATATTCCCAGTCAATTCTACATTCAAAACTCTTCACTCCTTACCTACCTTGGACAACTTTTTCTATTTTCTTCTTAGGACCAGTCCAGTCAAGAGGTGGACAAATCTAGTCAAGAGCTCATTCTTTTGTTCTGCATGTTATTTTGACTTCACGACTTTGAATCAAATTTTCCTCAAACTGTTCTACAAGAAATGGAGGAATTTGATCTGTATTTATTTTCCTTACTCTTCATTGAATCTTGGGGAGAGGTGAGAAGGTGTGAACGACTGACGGTGGTGGGTACGAGGAGAGGTAGAGGGAGACCTAAGAAATATTGGGGAGAGGTGATCAGGCAGGATATGGCGCGACTTAGGGTTACTGAGGACATGGCCCTAAACAGGGAATTGTGGAGATCGAGCATTAAGGTTGTAGGTTAGGGGAAATTGTGATGTCTTTTTTATAGCGCACTAGAGTGAGACTAGCCAGTTAGAAATTAGTCTTAGAATGCTATTGATCAACTATGCTTTATCTTCTGTGTATTAATACCTTACATCTTTCTCGTATTTCATATATCTCTTATATTGCTGTTACTTTGTTTTTTATGGTATTTATGTTATGTTATGGTTTTTATGGTATTTTATGTTGTTTTATTATGAGTATATTGATAGTACTAATATAGTGTCTCTTGTTGCCTCTTCGAGCCGACGGTCTCCTGGAAACAGCCTCTCTGCCCCTTTGGGTAGAGGTAAGGTCTGCGTACATATTACTCTCCCCAGACCCCACTTGTGGGATTACACTGGGTTGTTGTTGTTATACTCTTCATTGAATCTTGGATAATAACCATGATTGAGTTTTATTTTTTGTTTTTCTTATAACCTTTTTTGAGTTAAAATAGCGGACAACAGAAGAAAAAATTATTTATTATTGGCGATAACCTATGAAATAATTATTTATTATAGGCGATAACCTATCTACCCACTCATCAATCAATGTGTTTAACTAGTTTGCAATAATAAACCCCTATTATATTGGAATTAGGCGTCCATCATTTTATTGTCGTCAACCAGTTAGTTGGGGTTAAATTTTAGTCATGTTAGTATGTTTCTTTTAATCTTTAGTCTTCTTAAAGATTCATATGTTTGTTGAAAATGTAAAGAATTTTTGGTGCTGCAGAAACTAACGCTATAATATTTAATTGAGAAGGGCGTAATTTGAAGCATGAACAGTGATGACCTATATAGCCAATTTGTGGGTTGAACATTGTGGGTTCGTGTTAGGAATCCTACCACAACTAATTTGTAGTTACTTAGTGAAATTTTTACAGATATACAACAGTCGAGCCAAAGTTATTAGGTTCGATTAACCCGTAAGCCCTTAACTACATCCACCTCTTTTTGGTCATGTGCATGTGCAATTAATTGAATTTGAATATCTAAATTTTGAGTGAATTATTAAATATGTTGATTTAAAGGTGTATTTCAAGGGAAGTTGTCACTCGCAAATATTGAACATTCATAAACAAACTTTTCTACATGAAGTTCATATCCAAACTCAACTTCAATTTTTCACAAGGGAAGTTGTCACTTACAAATTTTCGCTAAGGCTTTTTCAAGTTCAACTTCAAATATCTTTTTTCGGGGAAAAGACGCTCCTGTTTGGCCATAAATTTTTACAATTTTCTTCCATATATCTTTGAAAACAATATTTGTTCATGGAATATGATCAGTTTTTGAAAAAAAATTTGTATTTTTTTTTCAAGTTTCCAAAAACCGGTTTAGGGCCGTTTCTGGGCGAAATTTCTTCCACTCACAAAACTTCAACTTTTTTACAAATAAAATGCATATTCAATTTCCAAACACAATTTCAACTTCCAAAAGTTATTTTTCAACACAACTTCAAAAACTCTATTTTTAAGTTTCAACCAAATCTATACTCAAACGCTAGCGAACTTTTAACTCAAATAATGTCCTAACACATACTTAATTTTTGGACATGCCTTTGGTGGCTGGATATCTCCGCCGATATATTACTTGTGTACACTTCTCTTTAATCCAGAGAAAGCTCTTTATAATCGACCCTTTCACATTCCCCTCAACTGTGTAAACCTTATAACTAGCTACTCTTTTTTCCTCTGCAACTCTGGGTCAATGAAATTTCAGTTCTTTGAAGTTGACCGATTTGTTGACTTTGCTTTCTTGAATTTTACTTCTTTGACCATCTCCATCTGAGTGTTGTTATTCCAAGATGATGATACATATGAAATACTGTGGCACCTGAGGTCGTGAATTCCACTTGGGTTTAAGGTTAGTTTGGTGTAAACACTTTTTTACTACTGTACGTGAATTCCACTTGGGTTTGAGGTTAGTTTGGTGTTAACACTTGATACGGATAAGTTTTTACTACTGTAACATTTGAGGTCGCGTTTTCTAATTGGGTTTGAGGTGGGGTTAGCATGAGCTCCACTAGCAACATAAGTGAAATTTTCTAGTTGAGTTCTTGACCACTCGTTATACGAATTGGATCTGAATTCTTCCATTGCAGATCATTAATTTCTGAATTTCTTCGACCTCTTTTATCTTTGGCATCCGAATGTGGAATTTATTTGAATTATTTAGGAGCATATTATTCATGTGAAGCCGCCGATTACTATTGGTTTTGTCACCTTTTGGTCACGTCGATGCTAGTGGTGGTACTTGCAATGTGGAGAAGGGGTTACTAACCAGCTAAAGCAAAGTCTATAGACTATAGAGAGGGATTGAATATAACTTTCACTGACAAAATTAAACTTTGTGTGGCCATGAAATTCTTATCGTTATAAAAGCTTCTCATTAATAATGGGCCAATAAATATTAAATGGTGTCGTAGGCGGGAGTTTCCAAGGAATACAAATAACTTCTGATTTTTTTCCAGATTTGACGAACATCTGGAATAACTAGTGGTACAACGGGTAAAATGAAAAATTTAAAGTTGAATTATTTCCAATTATAGAAATGTGTCATTGTTTTAGGAATAGACTAATAAGAAAAGTGTCATCTAAATTGAAACGGAGGGGGTATTAAATTTGAATTCCAGTCATGTTCTTTTTTCCTCTGTCGTTTTACAAGCCTTCATTTGTTCAGCATATTCATTAATTTATGATGGATAGAACTTAGAAGTAGTAGCAGTAACAAGTACGCAAATAATAAACATGTATGACAATAAGTGAATGTGTTAACTATATACTGACCATTATGAATGTGACATAAGAAATAGAGAAATTTCAAAGACTCCATCCCATCATGAATTCATGGTTTACTTACATTAAACAAGAATAGTATACATTTGTATAGTGGTAACAGAAAAATATGGCACAGAGCAGCAATTCTGCTCAAGTCCCTAGTGTTACATTATAACAAAGAATATTCACGTTATGCGAGTCCATTTCAGCTGATAAGAACAACAAGAAGAATTCCTAGTCAGGAACTTACTCGTGGCAATAGCAATTGGTGCAGTTGTTGGCCAATGTTCCTTCCATCGGACTAGCTTAGCACTTGACAGTTCAAAGCTGCAACACTCACTCGTCCAACATAATATTCTGATGAAGCTTAACTTGCAGTACCTTTTCTGTTCATCACATCATGATAATAGAGAAGCACACACATTGGTTGACCAAGAATGCAGAAAAAGCACCAGAATGTCATGTTGCCCACCTGAAACAGTTCCCGCATTATGTATATCGTACTTCTTTAATTGGCTTCTCTACTTAAAGTTACCAGTAACAAGAGAATAAATTATCTTAAGCTCATGAGTAACTGTGTGGAAAGACATACATTTGAGTTCTTGAACTTGTTTTGCAAGAAGTTCGTGAGTATGACCAACGGAATCTGATCAGAGAAAACACCACTATATGTCAGTACTCATGCAGATCAATGAAGATACAAGTCTTTCAATCAAGTATTTACTAATTTTATGACTAGAGCTCCCTTGTTATACCAATATATACACACATACACCAATGAGCGCATGTTAAACACCATTACCTGAAACATGATTCCAAGGAAAGCCCAAAACTTGAATAGTCGACAAGGAACAGCAATACACAGCTGAAGATAACAGCATCACATGTCATTCAAAGCCAGTCATTTTGAGTTGTCATAAGCTGTACTATTTGCTTCTGGTCTAAAAATAAAAGATGGAAGTACCTCGTGGAAAACAGCAGATACAAAGAAAGAAATCAACATCGCAACCCCCTGCATCAAGAATTCACTAGCAATTAAGTTAACACAATAGATCAAGAAATAAAGTATAGCATACAAATTGTAAGAACCAAACTTCTGTCAAAGTAGAAAGTGGAAAAATCATACGAAGCAGCAAACTGATGCTTTACACCAGGCATACACTTACCAAAAAAAAGGCAGCCCGGTGTACTAAGCTCCCGCTATGCGCGGGGTCCGGGAAGGGCCGAACCACAAGGGTAGCAGCCTTACACTTACCAAAAAACTATCCGACAAATTAAAACCAATGACATGAAAAATATGAAGGTCTAATCTCAAATAAGTCTACGGGTTTTTTACCATTTATAAACTCGAAACTCGGTAATTCAAAAATCCGTCTAGTATGCAAGGTTAAAGTGCTATGATTATTTATGTTTTGTGAAAAGAGAGGTGTAAGTAGAAGATCAAATAAGTGATGATTAACGCGACACCTTTCACGTCGAGTATATATTAGGAAACTAATAGCACACAAAAGATTAAAAATTAAGCAGACGGAAGATAATTCAACAACAAATTAGAATCTAGAACAAGAGAATTATCCGAAAGTACCTTAGGTATGCCATTCCTTAAGCATGGGAAATAAATGTGACGAACCATCCACTTATGTACAGGCTGCAGTTGTCACCAATACTTGGGTTACTATTGTCAAAAAAATGTTTGACAATCATGAAAGACTAAACCAAATAGAAACAAGTGCGCATAAAGACAATTTATCCCTCTTTACCAGTTTATCCTGGATAAGAATTGCATCTACGAAGAAAAGGAGCAGCATCTAGACATAATAATATTGTGTCCCAAAAGTACACGTGTAGGTTGTTTACTTACCTGGAGATTTGAACAATCTTTCTGTCCCATTTGATCTTGTGCTTTTTAAGTTTTCGGTTTACCTTTCAGCATTAAATATAATCTTAAAGTTCACTTTTGAAAACTGTTTACATTTGTTTAGAAAATCATAGAGAAAATCTAGACTTGAATCAACTGTTCAATTGACAAAATCAAGACCATTTTCCTTACTACACTTCAATATCTAGACCTTTTGCAGTAACAGATGGCAATACCGCTTATTTAACTTTCTCTAATGCTGAAAAACGATTGTGGTTGGTAACCTGATATTTCCGTTCATATTAACAAAAAGAACACAAGATATGAAACACTTTGATAGGTTCCCATTTGCCCGAGGCTTATAAGGAGTCGCATTTTATCAGGAAAAGGTAGAGGTGAAGAAAAGGATCAGACAGCTGAAAAAGCAAATATTTCGCAAGCATCATATTCACTGAAAAAACCACTCTCAGGCAAGCAAG